ATGAATTTATGTCTGGATTCTCAATTCTGTTCCATTGGTCTATATACCTGTTGTTGTACCAGTACCAGGCTGTTTTGACTACCGTGGTGGTATAACAGGTTCTAAACTACTTGCTGCTACTTTTGACCAAAATCCTGTCCCTCCCCAAACCTCCTAATTTCAGAGCAAATATAACCTCTGTGAAGCTTTGAAGAATCCATGTTAAGTACCAATAGTATTTATGTACACGTCTACATAATGTGCTTAAAATGCTATAAATATTCAAACATCAGAGTGTCTACTAAATGTCAGATCCTACATCAGGCTCAAATCATAACTGAAAGACACTTTTATGACATTTGGTTTGTTCTTCACAGATGCATATCCAAAGTAATCCACTTTAAAGCAGCAAAAGGAGTTTACTACCATTCTGTTCCTAATTAGTTAAAATGGGTCAAATGTCATAAAGGATTAAAGACATCATAGCACGTAAGTCACATCTAATTAGACATTACATGTAAGAAGGGTTATCTATTAATGACAAAATGTATTAATTACTTACATCCCAACATAACACACAGATGGGTAAGAATGAGAGATAGTTAAGCAACTTTGAAAAAAAAAAAAGGACTGGTCATCTATAGGGAGTGCCTCTAGAAGCTTGGTGTCAAATCAACAGGCATTACTGAAGGGCAGACAACTACCTACTTGGCTTCACACTTTGTCTTCACTCAGCCGCTACTTCCACTTCCACTTTGAACTAGGAAAGATTGAGGGAACATCATTCCCACCCTAATGATGAAAACAAGCCAAACAACCTAGGAAGTGTAGTCTTGAGCCCAATGAAAAGCTGAAGTCACAAGAAACCTAATGAACTCAAGTCCAACAGGACAAGCCCTCCTAGGAAAGGGAGCCATGATGCTCTCACACAGGCAGAGCAGTGGGAAATGGCCGAGGGAGGTCTGCTACGACCATTTGCCAGTGTAGAGTCCCCAGGGACCCCAGACAGAGTCTGCGGGTACGCACCCACTCTCTCCACAGCTGTGGCCAAGTACTCAGGGAAAGATGGGAGGCGGGGCTCAAGAGCTGCCCCATCCTGACAGGGGCTATCTGCAGCTGGGACAGCTGTGCCAGAGAAAGAGAACCCGATCTTCACTCCTATTTAACACTGCACTGCAGGGTCGAGCCAGGGCTGAAGCCACAAAAAAACCAAAGGCAGTCACTGGGAAGAAGGAAACAGTGCCAAACATACTTGTGGGTGACATAATCATCTAGGTAGAAAATCCAAAAAATCTACAAAAAATCTACTAGAAATAGGGTTATTTAAAAAGTTCATAGGAGACAAGAACAAAATATAAAAAATTAACTGTATTTCTATATATTTACAATTAGAAAATTTAATTAAAAGATAATATCAGTCACAATAACATACAAAACCATAAAATACTGAGGGTTAACAATGAAAAAAAACATGGAAGACATCTACACTGAAAACTATAAAACAGTGCCGAAATAACAGAATATTCTCCCCAAACTGATCTCCAAATTCAATAAATTCAATAAAATCTCCCAATCGACATATCAGACCAAGATTTTTGTAGAAATTGACAAACTGATTCAAACATTTAGATGGAAACCCAAAGGACCTAAAATAATCAAAACAATCTTGAAAAGGAAAACTACAGATGGAGAA